ACCTCACTCTCCCTTCCCATTCCCACACCCCAGCCACTGTCCGAGCCGGTCAGTAGACGGGAGTGGGAAATGGGCGCGGTGGCTGACATGGTCGGCTGACCATGCCTGCGCGCGCCACAGCACGACCTGGCCCCCCATACACACACAAACACCAGGATTTCACACAACGGGGATTGAACGGCGTGTCTCTCACTTGCGTGAGAGTGACGTGGAAGGTGCTGTTGCTGCCCGTCCCCAGCCCATCAGTCCGGCACTACACACAACACACACACAACGTGACGAACTGCGTGAACCGAGAGCGGGCCTCAATCAGCAACCTTCCTATCCACGACGCTTGACGTGTCGGGATAGTCTCGGACACAAGTCACCCGTGCAGCCGAAGCCGCATGGGGACCGAGTCGAGATGCGGACTTCCCACTTGCGTGGGAGGCGGCAGTTGAGTGCGTGAGGTGTGTGAGTGTTGATGTTTGGTGGGGTGATGGTGCTAGGAGGTAGGGGGTGAGGGAATGTGTGGTGTGACCGGCGGTTGTCTACCGCAGGTCGTTGTGGATGCGCATGTGGCAGAATAGAACCATGCGATGCGTGAAGGTGCGAGGACAGTGTGGGCATTGAAGGCGAGTGCGGTGGGTGTAGGTTGGTGCTCCAGGCACTGGTTCGCCAGTCTCTGTGCGATGGATTCACAAGTGACCGACCAGGACGATGTGTGAGGTGAAGGTGCGGTCACAGTGAGGGCACGTGTAGTCCTGATCCTCATCAGTGGTATCGGGAGAGGTGGGGGTGGTGGCGGTTATTGTGTCGGGGTTGGTGATGTGTGAGACAGCAGTCTGACCGTCCGCCGCTGGGGCAGAAGAGGAGAAGGAGGAGGATGGAAGTGGTGGTGCAGAAGGAGTGTCAGAGTTAGTTGGCGGAAGAGAGGACGAGGAAGAGGCGGGCGGGGGGACGATGGTTGGAGCAGTTCGAGAGGCGCAGTTGATCCGAAGATGTCCAACAAGTCCGATTCGTGCCCGGAATGTCCGTTGACATCGAGGACACGTAGGGGGAGGTTGTGCGGCGGCGTTGCGGACTGGGCGAAGTTGTGATTTGCGGGCTTCGCGTTTCGCTTTGGCGGCGGCGATGCGGTTGGCTTCGTAGATAGCAGCGCCCGTCTTCACTGTTCTCCTCCATGTCGGACGATCGCGAGCGAGCTCTTCCCAGTTGGTCGGGTTGATTTGAAGGCGCTTCAGGGAGGACTTCAGAGTATCATTGTAACGGCGAATCTGGCCTCCTTGACGGCGAGAACCCGTCGCGACGTCTCCGTAGAAGTGTCGTTTGGGTATTCGCTCGTCGTCCATGCGCACTAGGTGGCCGCACCAGCGCAGCTGCATTTGTCTCAGTATGGCGTAGATGCTGGGGATTCCCGTTCGTTCCAGTACTTCCGTGTCGGGGATTCGATCCTGCCAGTTCAGCCTCAGGATGCGACGGAGACAACTGAGGTGGAAGTGGTTCAGTCGACGTGCCTGTCTCGTGTACACCGTCCATGTCTCTGCTCCGTATAGTAACGTCGGCAGGATGACGGCCTTGTACATCTTCAGCTTCGTGCTCAGTTGGAGACCGTGGCGATTCCAAACTGTGCTTCGGGACGACCGAAGGCTTGACTGGCTTTCGAGATCCTGTTGGCGACTTCGTCATCAATCTTGGTGTTGTGGGAGAGGGTACTGACCAGGTACGGGAAGTTCTCCACCACTTGCAGTTGATTTCCGTTCACTCTGATTTGCGGCGGCGCGTTGGGGGCTGTGGCTGAGTTGGGCGGCGGTTGGTGCATCAGCACCGTCTTCTGCGTGTTAATGACCAGACCGAAGTTCTCGCAGGCGGCGGAGAATAGGTCCATGCTCCGTTGCATCTCCTCTTCCGAGGTGGTGTTCAGGGCGCAGTCGTCGGCGAAGAGGAGTTCGTGCACGGTAGTTGTG